ACACCAGGGACCAATAGAGGGAGCACAAACCCAAAACCCAGTATCTAAAATCCCAAAACACAAACCATCCCAAAACAGCCCAAGAATAATAAAGAGAATAATAACAATAAGCAACACAAACACAAAGTCACTGAGTCATGGCCGCAGGACCATGACACATTCAGTCTTTGAGAGTGCAGTACCTGAAACATACAAAGACAAAGTTCTTGTACTTTAAGTACAAGAATTAATGAGCCAAGGCAGAAACAAATGTGTTTAATCTACTTTATCATAAGTGTAACTAAGTGTTTAGAAAGTTAGCATATACATGTAATTTTTTATTTTTTTATGCATCCATCTATAGAACGCTGCATGTTATATTCTAAATCTGCCTGTTCTTTCTCAGACACCTGCCTGCAGAAAATGAACCTAAAGTATGTAATGCAAGGATGTAATCACTTTAAAGATGGAGAAAGCATAAAGTGACAATTATGAATCACTTAATATTATAAGGACATTCAATGTCCTTTTATACAATGACAATCAATGTATAAAACTAAAATAAAATGTATTTTTAGTGACACAGGGTACAAACATGGAAGGAAGATGTAGAATTGGAATTATTTATAATAAATCTGAATAAATTATTGCAATTTCTTTAACCATAAAGAATAACTAAATCCTTCAAGACAATGTCACATCAATGCACTGAACTCACTATGTTATCCCTCTAACAGCCTCCACATGTTCTCACTGTAATATCCCCCTCATGAATGAATTTATGCTGCACTAATCTGAATGTTCGGAGGGAAATCAAACGCATTTCACTCACAGTACTCAAGCTGACTTACCTTTGTTTGAATGACGACTTGTACACGCTGACTCCACAGACAAAGTACAAAAATATGTCAGGCTACGTCAATAGCGGTTGGTCTTCAGGGTTTCTACTCCACGGCCGTATTTCATATGGGTCCACATTTCCAATGCACGCTTTTTTTCTGCAAGTACCGCTCCTTCGCCTCTGGACGCAGTTGGTCTCAATACAGTCCATTCTCTTTTGAGCTGCTTTTAAGCATCTTTCTTGTAGTCGTTGTTCCAACACAGTGTGTTTGTTTTGATTTGTGGACACGGAAAATGGCGCAGCGCTCCCACAGTACATTGCAGCATGACGTCAACTCCAAAGCCCTATTACTAACTCCCATATCAGACAGCGTGGCCCCCCCTGCCGTAGAAAACTGAGGCCTTTCTGACAGACAACCAGCAATCCAGGAGACAGTAGAAGTGGTGGCATGCATCCTGAGCAGCTTCCTACTCAGCAGAAGTGGTTGGATAGTATTAAAGTTTTCAGTGGCTTTATTAAAAAGACTACAGTTATTATACCAACTAAATGAATAAGTAGTTAATTATTGGTCAGTTCGCAGGCATCCAAAGATTTTCATCAAATGACCCACCTGTTAAATTAGTCATGTTTGAATTCTTATTCTTGTATGAAGTTTGCTTGGGATACTGTGTACATACTATATGTGAGTCATGTTGCATGTCAGTGTAAAGCGTTATTTAGATTTCATAACCTTATCTCATCTCTTTCATGCCAGTTATTCACTGGAGTGTTTTTTGTGTGAGAGCTGACAAAAGCCATGCACCAAAATAACTACTCTGTCATTGTTATGTATTATGTAGAACGTTTTTCCACTTCTTGGGTGTGCCAACTGACAAAAGCCATTCCTCCAAATAACTTCCTTGTCATTGTCTATTCATCTATAACATTTACCCTTGAATTGAAACCGAAAGCTCAAGCTGGAGGGCTGTACAAACAAACTGACCTGCTTTTTATAACTATTGATGACAGTGTCATTTTCTCCCCAGCTATTGATGCCACTGAGAGTAAACCTTGACTGGTTCAGCCTGGTTTTATTTCTTGCCCTCTAACTCTCTGGTATACCTGGCTTGTCAGTTTCCATGGTATGGACAGCTAGGCCTTTCTTCATCACACCTTTCTAAAGGTTTCTCTAGGTGTTGCCATAATCCCACATTCATATCTTCTATTAGACCTTCAGACCACTTCTTGTAGTCATGGTAAGCTACCACGAAGGGTCCAGGTTTTCAGTTTAACTATCATTTCAGGTCAGTTGTTCTTACAGTCAGCACCTTCAACACGCTGGTTGAACTTGGGGCTTGTTACCCAGTCTCAGGTGAGGATCAGCCTAATGGCGGTGGTATCATCTGGAAACTTCAGGAGTTTCATGGATGGTTCTCCGAATGATGCTATGCCTGCTCCACGCTGCTATCTACTTGAGAAAAAGATTTAAATCCAGCATCTGCAGAATGCAGTCCTGGATGTGTTCACTGAGCAAGCTTTCAGTGAAGCAAAGGGAGGAGAATCTGTGAAAGTCGGTGTACAGGAACAGCAGTTCATCTGTTTTGCGTGCCAGTGATCACTGGTTGGCCAGATGGGAGCACGTAGGGTGTCATTGTGCCTCCAACCAGAATCAGGGTCGACAAAAACTGGGGGAGAAATACATAGAGAGGACTGTCCAATGATTAACAGTTCCTCTCTGAGGGTAGTGGCAAAAAGCAGAATAATGCAGAGAAGCATACAAAGCACAAGAAAGCAGTAGCTTCTGTATGGAGAAACGGGTCAAATTTTCTAAAGAAGCTCAGATTCTTTGGTCGTGTCCAAATTCATGGGCTGCATTCTCCTGAGGACCCGGCCTTCGCGGTCTACGTGGGCCGGGTCCTCAGAAGATCGGGTAGGCCGGAAGTAAACGGCCGTGAAATTGGACGGTCTAGCCTTCTCGATCTACTCCCGCCCTTAATTCAAAGTATTTCCGGTCGTCAGCGCCAGGGCACGAAAATCGAAAATGGACCCCGAAATCTTTCTCCGTTTTTTGTGTTCATTTTTAATTATCAACGATCTAAAAAAACTGTGTCGCGGTCGTCATCGCCGGCATGTTTTGTACTCCAGGCTCATCAGAGAAAATCATATCCAGGTAAAACTAGACGCATTTAAGAATTACTTAGCTAGTTTTATGGATAATTTCAGTGACTGAATGACGGCGGTCATTCAAAATATATGAACAAAATCTCTTAGAAAATGTTCTTCTATAAGTTTACATTTATTTTCAGTTATTCATATGATCTGTTACTTATTTTTGTACATAAAATTGCAGTAAAATTGTCAGAAAGCCAAAAACAGCGTTATTTTTGAGTTCACAAAAAAGCTTAGCTACACAGATGAAATGTATAAAATGTTATTTCTCAGTGTTAGTATATTTTACTCAAGCTTAGTAATCAGAATAATGCTTTGATGTCATAAAATAAATGAAGTCATACCTTTCTATTAAAACTGTTTATGCTGTTCTCCACCTTTTCCTTAACCAGAAAAGGCCGTTGTACTGCAGGATTAACCAAAGTGTACTAGTCCTGGATTGCTTATTGTTGGCAGCAAAATGGCAGCAACCTCGCTGCCATAAAGAAGGCTTCAGGAAATCATTCCTGCTGTTCTATATAAAGCTGTATAACATGTAACATGTAAAACATAAGTAAAACTAACTGCCACTGCCTTGTGTCCCCCAGCTGCTGTATAATTTGGCCCGGTGAAAGCGAAGGTCACTATCAAACAACTCTCATCTTTAAGGATTTCTTCAACTCCAGTGGTCACCTCTGCATCATGGAGACCTGGGTGAATGCTGCTGAGTCTGGTGTTTTCGCTGAACTTTTACCATTAGATTTCTGCCATTTCAACTTTCATGTTGAGCCGAGGAGGAACAGCGACTGCTTAGAAGCATCTTCACAGATGTAAAACGGCTTTCATGACTATCCTTTCTCCCGCTTTGAACTTTAGCTGTTTGAACTTGGTTGGTCCTATATTGTACTTTGCGCATTAATAAACAGATCACCCAAATACAGTAATGACTTTTTAAATACATTTTCTGAACGTTTGGCTGAAATCATGCCTAAATATGGTGTGTTGGTGATTGCAGTACATGTGTGCTGTCCTGGACAAGCATCAGCTAAGGACTTTAAAAGCCTTATTGACTCTTAATTTTATGCAGTGCATGTCTGCACTCACACAGAAACGGGGAAACTCCCTTGACATTTTTAAAGTGTCTGTTTCTAATGTGAAGATTTGTGACGCTGTTTGGATTACATGCGTGTAATGACATTTGACATTTTCTCACCTGGGAACATTCTTGAACCTCACGCTCCTGTTCAGCAAGTTGTTCTTTGGTTTTCAACTTTCTTTGGAACAGTGTTGTTTGCGTTGAGGCTGTGTCATGATAGATGATTTCCGCTCTTGGTTTCACTCCACTGGTCATACAGTGTTAGATGCTATGTTTTTATTAAAACCCAGGTAGCCAATACCTATTCTAGCCTTGGCTGGATGAAACAACAAGTGCAATTAGGTGCGAGTGTACAAAAGTGGAAGAAAGCTCCATGTTTCATTTCAAATTTTAAGGAATTCTGTTATTGCCATCATACAGTTGTGAAAGATGTCAGAAGGAAATATCTGTCAAAGATAATTTGGTCAAACTGCAATAAGCCTCATATTGTTTAATACCACAGACACTCTTCTTGGTGTTCAACAGCCTGCCTGCATTGAACCTTCATTTAAGGCATGAGAAAACTTTCAATTTCTTTGTGGATAATGTGAGAGCGGCACTGTGTATTACCAGCCACACATGTT